TGTAAACATATTATCCCATGTAAAAGCATTTTTGTTCTCCAGCTCATTTCAGCTACAGTCTCTCATTTGTCTCCATACTGCCAGTAAACACATACTTGATGCATCATAAATTGATGCTGCTGATTCTAGCCATTGTTAATTAATTTCTGATGCTCATCATTTAATGTGCATGCAAAAAAAGCCTCATGGTGCGTTTACTCCCTCAAGTCACAGTAATTGCTGCACATCCTCCATCCAGTGTGTATGGCTGGCAGCTTCATGAAGGTCTTGAGTTTATCATGTTGCTTCCTGGAAAACTCTCCTTCTAATGCTGTCTTGGAAATGCTATTTGTATGTACATGGGAACTGTCTATCAGCAGCCACATTTGAATGTGCACTTAACTGTATTGCTCCCCACTTTTTATGATACGGTTATCCATTTGCCCTATGTAACTTTAAAATGGTCATCAGAATTTTTGTTTGCATCAATAGCCTAGCAAATGCCTGGTTCTGTACAGTATATGATGACAAATCCAGTCCTCCTGTGACATTTTTCCAGTCGTTCATTTCCTACTGCTTAGACTCATCTTTCTCAGACAACTGAATACAGTATCAAAATCCTTAATGGGTCTTCTTGTGAGAGATCACAAAGGTGTTTTTCCATTTAAAAGTTTGGAATAATTTTATATTATGTTCATCCATTTGTCTGGATTTGTACTGTTTAGTTATTACCCTGACTCACACCTTGATATAGAATACAATAGAATAGAATGCCTTTATTGCCATTGCATGTAATGTGCAATGAAATTTGGTGTCTCTCCATAAACAAAAGCTGTATAGGATTCAGTTCACACCCACACGCCCACAACACACACCTACCCATAAAAACAACAGATTGAAATAAATATGTAAAACATATAAAAAGTTCATAAAACAGATGTAAAGTGTCTTGTGTGTTACTGCACGACATATATGACATTGAATCATCATCATCATCAACTTTATTTATATAGCACATTTAACACAGCCGAAGCTGACCAAAGTGCTTAACACAATATCACTAAAACCCGTTAAAACACAATAAAACAAGCAGAAGCAATAAACACAACAATAAAACAGGATCACACTAAAACAACCACCCATCATAAAACAAAAAAGCTCAACAAGACAGAGGCTCATACTGGTTCGAACGCCAAACTGTACAGATGAGTCTTCAAATAAGTTTTAAAAGTGGACACAGAGAGGGCCTGCCTAATGTAAAGGGGCAGTGCATTCCACAACTTAGGAGCCCCCACAGAGAATGCTCTGTCCCCCCTAAGTCTCTGCCTAGCCCTCGGTGTCTCCAAGAGCAGGGTGGGCGCTTTCATGATCCTGAACAATACTGACCAGGAACAGTTTTCTCACTGGCTCACAGAGTCTGTGAAAAAGATGGGACAAGCTCTTAGCGAGAAGTTTAAACAACCACACATCCTGATTAAACTAAACCATCTCCATGTGAAGCCTCAGAATGAGCTTTTCTCCAAACT